CCCCCCCCCCCCCCTCCCCCCCTCGTTTTATTGGGCGCCTAATCCAGTTTGGTCAAGGAACCTATTGTAGAGGACTCAGTATAAAGTCTACATATTCCATACTGAGTAGGCTTAAGCGTGACAGTATCAAAACCCATACCACAAAGAGGTGTATCGGATATGTGCGACAACACAAAATGCTACTATACGAAATACGGCATAGTCTATATACTCGCGCGTCGTGTATACACCAGGGTGGGGTGGTGCAGAGAGTAACCTCGCTTCAGTTGCTCGGTACAGCGACCTAGTCCTACCCACTGCCCACCAACCAGGCTTGGGGTGTTGGCGTGGGAAAGGGTTTGTCAGGGGTAATCTACAGCACACATAATATTTACATGCCGTATTCCGTGTATAAAAACCTATAGTAAAAGGTGATGTATAGGTTTTATGTACAGCAATGCTATCTCCGAGGTCTCCCGTCGGGACGTGGGTGTCAAGCCTCCCGTGGGTGACGCAAGACTGCATGCGCATTGCCCGGGGGGGGTCGTGTGCCTCATTATTGATGGGAAGTTTTGTCGCTCGTATTCCGTACGAAACATCGCGCACGTGTACACATGAAGGTATTAGCATTGGAGCCAGCCCGAGCGGACAACAACTTGCCAGCAAAATTCAGGCTTCTTCTAAGGCGTCTTGTGATTGAATTTGGCAGATTTATTTCGAATGAGAACGGGATTTGAATCCGAAACAACTCCACAAAGGACCCTTCTCACAAGAACAACACGTCATACAAGGAAAATACGTCGCAGAAAATTGCACGAAGACCAATTACTGTGCGTACCTCCGGCAACCCCTGCTCCGAGGCCGTCTTCAACACGTCGTGGCTAGCGTTGGAAACCCCAACCGGCACGAGACCCGCCGCCCTCACAGCCCGCGAGCAGCCGGCAAGGCTGGCGCGTCCAGCTGGTCGGCCGTGCGGTGACCCGTCCTGCCGCATCGTGTTTCGGGGGCAACAGGGGGTGTACTCATGAAAGCGAATGCCGTGGGGTCGGTACACAATAAACCTCGTATCCCTACACTGCCGGGACGGAGCGCGGCATGTATGCCGGTTTTTCGCCGCGGGCAGGCTACGTTTCACAAGGATGAACCAGACGCTGGTTCCGTGCGGAGCAATGTCTCCAACGATCCAGTAGTAAACTCGTCACGATGTGCCCGCCGACTTCGGTGCTGTTGATTTTCTTGGCGTCGACAAACGCTGGCCTTCGCGCGGTGCAAAGTTGAGGGTGACGTGAACGTTCTCTTCCACATACATCACCTGAGACACGGCGCCCAGATCAAGCACCACCGGAGACCCCGCCCCCGGGAACAGCCCGGTCGTTCCTAGCGCCCCGGGCCCCTGCAACGCCTCCCTCATCCACTGGAAAACCCTCTCCTCCTCGTCCTTCTCCCCTCCCGCTGCTGCGCCGTTAACGCGGCGAGAGTTCGCCGTGCTGCTGCCGGTTGGTGTTGTCGCTGCTGGAATGGGGGGAACTTTAATCGTGGACAGCAGATAGGTCCGCCCGAAGAGGCTGACCGGTGGGGTCCGTGTTGAAGGCGATGGAGCTGGAAAACGGGTGTCGTTGAGAAGCGAGGAAGTGGTGGCGCGTCATGGTCGCGGCGGTCGAGAGTAGCAAAAACGTCATAAAAAAGAAAAGAAAAGCAACCCGCGAACGGCTGCTGCTCCCGAGAGCGTGCAAGATGCCAAAGTGTAGAGATGCCTGAGCAACGATGGGGTAATAGAGTGGGGTGGGCTAAAAAGACGTCATGAAATGGAGTGAAACGCCGTCCGTCCTTCGCGGGAGTGGGACGCCCACAGGTATGTATAGATTCAGAGAGACAACGAGATACACCTGCCACCTCAGCAGCAGTGGGTCAGCCTAAAGCAACCGCATACGAAACTACGCTGATGCGTTCGTCGGGATTGTGTTGGCAAGAACCGGGAGATCGTCTCTCCTACCCACATCGCCTCCCACGTGCTGGTCATCAAAGCTACAGGAGTAGTACCAATATAAACCGCGAGGCTTTGGCTGGTCAACTCTGTTTCGTGTTGTTCAATGTCTACCGGAGCCATCTCAAAAACCCTCACAACAACTACTGACCTTCCGCCGACCGTGATGCAGGAGGCGCGGGTGAACCACGGATGCCGGCCCACCGTTCCAGATAGCTTCTCCTCCTCTCGGAACTGCTGCTACCGCTGCTGTTGCTGCTATTGCTGGTGCTGGAACTGGTGCTCGTGCGCCAAGAAACGCGGCGTAACACGCTGCTTTCGTCGATCCCTGCTGCCGATGTCAACCATGGTGGGGGCTGTCGTATCCAGGCTCTGCACAAGCTCGATCTCGCCGGTGCAGGCGCACGAATCATGCCTGATCGCCACAGCTAGATCTTGGCCTGGCGATCGAAGACCCACACGCGAGCAAGATGGTGAGACGCATTGAAACTAGAGACGGTCAATATGGAGACGCCGGAGGGGGCTCGCGGATGCGAAAGAAGTTCATCCGACAGCAGCGCGAAACCGATGCTAGCCGTGTGGCTCCTTCCTGCTGTGCACACACACTTTGTCGACAGAGGAAGGCAGCAGCAGGTAGGGGGGAAAGAGGGAAGCAAGGCGAAAGCACATACCAACGCGAGGGCCAGGAAGAAGCTGAAGACATCATGATTCCTCGTGTGCTTGGTTTCATTGTGTGTGGAGCCTGCGCCGCTTCTGCCTTCGTTGCCCCCTCCGTGCTTCGATCACAGCAGCAGCATGGCGATACACCTTCACGATACAGCAGCCGAAGCAGCTCCGTGGGCCATCGCCGGGAGGCGATGTCGATGGGAGGGGAGCCGCAGTCCCGCCGAAATGTCATTGCAGGCAAGGGTGCGGGAGAGGAGGAAGATCTGGTCGGTTGCAACAAGCGTTTTTTTCGGGAGTCGAGGATGTTGTTATATCCAGTGTGCGCATGTTCGTCTGACTCCTTTTGGCTCCGAAACGTTGAAAAATCATGTGTGACGGTTGTGTCCAGCTGGTGGTGTCGAAGCCTACCACAGCAGTAGGCCACAAGTATGCATGTCTCGTCGTCGTGCATGCACACGATGAGCATAAGTACGACACGCTTGCGTTGTCGCGCGAGATAGGCTTCGTCATTTCTTCCGGTGCTTTTGCAGCATTGCTGAATCCAAAACCGGATCAATCCGCTTCTTTTGGCACGAATCCTCGAGACTCCGGTGCGCAGTACTCACAGCTACCTCCCCGTAGTGGTCTCTGATGGTATTGCAGCACACAATCAATTATTTGTTGTCGAACCGAAGAAAGAAGAAGAAACTGAACTTCGAGCTCCGCTCTGTCAGTACAGCAGCTGTAGTTGCGCAAGGCAGCTTGTATTATTCATTTTCCACGTGGATGATGACATCCTTCCAATGCTCACATGACCCTGCTCACGACCCCCCCCCCCCCCCCCCCCCCCCCCCCCCCCCCCCCCCCCCCCCCCCCCCCCC